TGTGTATTGTGTATGGAGCTTGTGTGTGTATTGTGTATGGAGCTTGTGTGTGTTATTGTGTATGGAGCTTGTGTGTGTGTGTATTGTGTATGGAGCTTGTGTGTGTATTATGTATGGAGCTTGTGTGTGTATTATGTATGGAGCTTGTGTGTGTATTATGTATGGAGCTTGTGTGTGTATTGTGTATGGAGCTTGTGTGTGTATTGTGTATGGAGCTTGTGTGTGTATTGTGTATGGAGCTTGTGTGTGTATTGTGTATGGAACTTGTGTGTGTATTGTGTATGGAACTTGTGTGTGTATTGTGTATGGAGCTTGTGTGTGTATTGTGTATGGAGCTTGTGTGTGTATTGTGTATGGAGCTTGTGTGTGTATTGTGTATGGAGCTTGTGTGTGTATTGTGTATGGAGCTTGTGTGTGTATTGTGTATGGAGCTTGTGTGTGTATTGTGTATGGAGCTTGTGTGTGTATTGTGTATGGAGCTTGTGTGTGTATTGTGTATGGAGCTTGTGTGTGTATTGTGTATGGAGCTTGTGTGTGTATTGTGTATGGAGCTTGTGATTGGAGCTGTGTGTGTTGTGTGGAGCTTGTGTGTGTGTTGTGTGTGGCAGCTTGTGTGTGTGTGTTGTGTGTGGCAGCTTGTGTGTGTGTGTTGTGTGTGGCAGCTTGTGTGTGTGTGTTGTGTGTGGCAGCTTGTGTGTGTGTGTTGTGTGTGGCAGCTTGTGTGTTGTGTGTGGCAGCTTGTGTGTTGTGTGTGGCAGCTTGTGTGTGTGTGTGTGTGTGTGTGTGTGTGTGTGTGTGTGTGTGTAGCATCTCAATTTGGTCATGGACCAGGCCGCGGGGGCGTTGACCCCCCTAACACCCTCCAGGTAGACTCAAGATAGGAAGGTGAGAAAGAAAGGTACTTAACAGTTCTGTTAAACACTTTTCTTTGTATATATTCCTTCCTCAGAATTCGTAGGTCACATGAATACAGATCGATCGATCAAATTTTTTTTTATCACTTCTATTGTGTAATCCCAACGTTGAGTTTCATTCGATGAGTTGTGCTATATTATACCTTGTATTGAATTACAGTTTCAGTTACGTAAGCTTCCATTCCAATGTTCTACTTATGTATGTTATAATGTTTAATTGTTGTGTACTTTGACATTGTATAGAATCAGCCCAAGCCGTATACCTGCCTTCTCTAGTTTGTATTAGTTGTATGTCGGGACGACATACGTTAGCGTCGCCGAGCTCTCAGTAGTAGTAACCAGTTACCAGTAACCAGTGTACCAGTAGATGACTCACTACCAACCGTCTCTGCCTGAGTCACTGGCTGTATTCATATTGTTGCTGACCTAGCAGGATTTCAAGCGCCCCCTCGCCCATGGGCACTCCTCAGTCAGTCTAGCCAAGGGGCAGAGAGAGGCAGGTTCGGCTGTGGCGCCCTTCCACATATTTCAGTTACAATATACGTACTTCCAGCCTACGTGAGTATTTTTTACCCAATCCACGTGTTCGAACTCCCACATATGTGTGCGTGTGTGTTGTGTGGCAGCTTGTGTGTGTGTGTGCGTGTGTGTTGTGTGGCAGCTTGTGTGTGTGTGTGCGTGTGTGTTGTGTGGCAGCTTGTGTGTGTGTGTGTGTGTGTGTGTGTGTGTGTGGCAGCTTGTGTGTGTGGCAGCTTGTGTGTGTGGCAGCTTGTGTGTGTGGCAGCTTGTGTGTGTGGCAGCTTGTGTGTGTGGCAGCTTGTGTGTGTGGCAGCTGTGTGTGTGTTGTGTGTGGCAGCTTGTGTGTGTGTGTGTGTGGCAGCTTGTGTGTGTGTTGTGTGTGGCAGCTTGTGTGTGTGCAGCTTTGTGTGTGTGTGTGCAGCTTGTGTGTGTGTTGGGCAGCTTGTGTGTTGTTGTTGGGCAGCTTGTGTGTGTGTGTGTTGTGTGTTGTGTGTGTGTGGCAGCTTGTGTGTGTGTGTGTGTGTGTGTGTGTGTGTTGTTGTGTGGCAGCTTGTGTGTGTGTGTGTGTGTGTTGTGTGCAGCTTGTTGTGTGTGTGTGTGTGGCAGCTTGTGTGTGTGTGTGGGAGCTTGGTGTGTGTGTGTTTGTGTGTGGCAGCTTGTGGTGTTGTGTGTTGTGTGTGAGCTGTGTGTGTGTTGTGTGTGGCAGCTTGTGTGTGTGTGTGTGTGGTTGTGTGTGGCATGTTGTGTGTGGCTTGTGTGTGTGTATTGTGTGTAGAGCTTGTGTTGTGTGTGTGAGGTGTTGTGTGTCGTGGATGTGTGTGAGCTTGTGTGTGTATTGTGTGTGAGCTTGTGGTGTGGTTTGTGTGTGGAGCTTGTGTGTGAGCTTGTGTGTGTATGTGTGGTGTAGAGCTTGTGTGTTGTGTGTGGTTGTTGTGTGTGTAGGGAGCTTGTGTGTGTGTATTGTGTGTGAGCTTGTGTGTGTGTATTGTGTGTAGAGCTTGTGTGTGTGTATTGTGTGTAGAGCTGTGTGTGTGATTGTGTGTAGAGCTGTGTGTGTGATTGGTGTGAGCTTGTGTGTGTATTGGTGTGAGCTTGTGTGTGTGTATTGTGTGTGGGTGAGCTTGTTGTGTGTGTGTAGTTGTGTGTGGATTGTGTGTGAGCTGTGTGTGATTGTAGAGCTTGTGTGTGTGTATTGTGTGTAGAGCTTGTGTGTGTGTATTGTGTGTAGAGCTTGTGTGTGTGTATTGTGTGTAGAGCTTGTGTGTGTATTGTGTGTGAGCTTGTGTGTGTTATGTGTGTGTAGCTTGTGTGTGTATGGTCTTGTTGATGTGTGTGTGTATTGTGTGTAGAGCTTGTGTGTGTGTATTGTGTGTAGGAGCTTGTGTGTGTGTATTGTGTGTGAGCTTGTGTGTGTATTGTGTGTAGAGCTTGTGTGTGTGTGTAGTGTGCGTGGTGGAGCTTGTGTGTGTGTATTGTGTGTGGAGCTTGTGTGTGTTGATGTGATTGTGTGTGAGCTTGTGTGTGTGTATTGTGTGTGAGCTTGTGTGTGTATTGTGTGGAGCTGTGTGTGTATTGTGTGTGGAGCTTGTGTTGTGATTGTGTGTGGAGCTTGTGTGTGTGTATTGTGTGTAGGAGCTTGTGTGTGTGTATTGTGTGTGGAGCTGTGTGGTGTGTATTGTGTGTGAGCTTGTGTGTGTGTATTGTGTGTGGAGCTTGTGTGTAGTGTGATTGTGGTGTAGGTTGTTGTGTGTGTATTGTGTGTGAGCTTGTGTGTGTGTATTGTGTGTGGAGCTTGTGTGTGTGTATTGTGTGTGAGCTTGTGTGTGTGTGTTGTGTGTGGAGCTTGTGTGTGTGTATTGTGTGTGGAGCTTGTGTGTGTGTATTGTGTGTGGAGCTTGTGTGGTTGTGTGTGGATGTGTGTGTTGTAGCTTGTTGTGGAGCTTGTGTGTGTATTGTGTGTGGAGCTGTTGTGTGTGTATTGTGTGTGGAGCTTGTGTGTGTATTGTGTGTGGAGCTTGTGTGTGTGTATTGTGTGTGGAAGCTTGTGTGTGTGTATTGTGTGTGGAGCTTTGTGTGTGTGTATTGTGTGTGGAGCTTGTGTGTGTGTGATTGTGTGTGGAGCTTGTGTGTGTGTATTGTGTGTGGAGCTTGTGTGTGTGTATGTTGTAGTTGTGTGGAGGCTTGTGTGTGTATTGTGTGTGGAGCTTGGTGTGTGTATTGTGTGTGGAGCTTGTGTGTGTATTGTGTGTGGAGCTTGTGTGTGTATTGTGTGTGGAGCTTGTGTGTGTGTATTGTGTGTGGAGCTTGTGTGTGTGGTGTTGTGTGTGGAGCTGTGTGTGTGTGTATTGTGTGGAGCTTGTGTGTGTATTGTTGTGGAGCTTGTGTGTATTGTGTGTGGAGCTTGTGTGTGTATTGTGTGTGGACCTTGTGTGTGTGTATTGTTGTGAGCTTGTGTGTGTGTGTATGTGTGGTGGAGCTTGTGTGTGTGGTATTGTGTGTGAGCTTGTGTGTGTGTGTATTGTAGTTGTGGAGCCTTGTGGTGTGTGTATTGTGTGTGGAGTTGTGTTGTGTGTGTATTGTGTGTGGAGCTTGTGGTGTGATTTGTGGATGTGTGTGTGTGTATTGTGTGTGGAGCTTGTGCATGTGTGTATTGTGTGTGGAGCTTGTGTGTGTGTATTTGTTGTGGAGCTTGGTGTGTAGTTTATTGTGTGTGTGAGCTTTGTGTGTGGTGTATTGTGTGTGAGCTTGTGATGTAGTGTATTGTTGTGGATCGCTTGTGTGTGAGTTAAACTCTGGATGGAGCTTGTGTAGAAGTGTGGTATCTGTGTGCTGAGAGACTGATGTTGTGTGTATTGTGGTGGACATGTTGTGTGTTTGTGTGGGAGCGTTAGCTTTGTGTGTATTGGTAGTGAGCTTTGGTGATGTGTATTGTGTGTGGAGTGTGTGTGTATCTTGTGTGGACTGATGTGGTGTGCGATGAGTATTGTGTGTGGAGCTTGGTGTGATATTGTGTGTGGAGCTTAGTGTGCATGTGAATTGATTGTGGGCTTGTGGATATGTTGTCTGTGACTTGTGTGTATTGGTGAATGGAGCTTTCATGCTATTTGTGCTGGAGCTTGTGGTTGTACTTGTGTGTGGAGACTAATGAAATTGCTAGCTAGTGTGTGTGGAAGGAGACCTGATATAACTATGGAAAATCCTAGTGGATTAGTACCAGAATGCATGAAATTACAATCCTGGAAAGCTAGACTGCAAAGTGAGCATTCCATGAAAGGCGGGCACACAGTCACTGAGAGACACCTATTTCTGATTTGAGTCCTGTGCAACTGGGATCAATATTAGTGTTGGAGGCAACCTTATTTATTGGGCTCTTGGTACGAGTTGCAGTAGTGAGTGCCAGGCCCTGAGGAACATGCCTGGGAGGAGTGCAGTAAACCTTGTGACTGAGTGAGCGCTGCCAGATGAGACAGGTAACATGGTGTCGGCTGAGCTTGGTAGGCATTTGCCACTAGTGTGAGCATCATAGTGGCATGAAATATGAACCCAGCTGGGCATACATCGCTCGGCCACCTACCCATGGTTGTCCTCGACCATGATTGACTGGAAAAACTCACTCTCTCTCTCGGGAACAGGGCACAGAACACAGAATAAAAACATATGTGCATGTGGACATCGATAAAAAAAACTTCCTACAGGGAGAGAAGAAAAGAGGGGTGTGCTAAATATTATCGTCCAAGTTGGTAAACCTTGGTGGGCATCACTGCATGCCTTCCTGTGTTTGGACAGATATTAGAACACAAGACATCGCTGCAACTGAGCTATGACGTAACAGGGTACGGTCTTTTCTGGAACGGTGGAGTAGTCATTGTAGAGTAGACGCTGCAGGGGTTTGCTTAACCTGGGCCACAACCTGCTGGTGCCCTCAAGTGAAGCATTGTCAGTACTCGGCAACTGGGCAGGACTACTACTGGCAAGGGACTCAGGAGGACATTTCTTGACTGGTACTGCCCCTGGGGCTGTCACTGCTGGCGAGTGGAGCGAGTCTTAGCGGAGACAACTCAGGCGAAACACCCGGGAGTCGTAGCAGTATACACCGTAACTAAAGTGAGCGGGCTACAGGTCAGCCATCACTAATCCGGCATCATTGGGACCTGTAGTGTGCCGGATTACAGAGTAGTTAGGTTAGGATACACTTAATTAACCTATCAGTAGACACTTTTTTATTGCATCTTCATTTTCATCACTGCTTTCTCCTCCCCTGGCTTTCTGCTGTGGATTTACAACCATCTGCACAATTTCCGAGTCAGTATAATGATGAAATTTGAAATTATGCTAGCCAAAATTAGTGCCGGATTACTGATGGAACCGGATAATTGATTGCCGGATTAGTGATGGCTGACCTGTAGCAATCATAGTGACATATTTTGTACAGGCTGCTCATTGAAGCTGTGACACGAGTCAGTCGCCTGACGACGGTTACTGTGGCTTGTCGATGTCATCCTCTCAACAGTTGAAGTCATGGCAGAGTTAGTCTAAGCGTCCTCAGACTGGTTTTCTATACTTGACCACTCTGACAGTCAGGAGGTGGAGTGCAACGAGTCTCAGTGGGGAATCGTAGTGGCATGTCTTGGGCATGGTGTCTATGAATGGCGAGCATAAGAGCTTTCTGTACATGGGGGCTCAGACACTCGTAATCTGATGCCTGGACTGACTAGCATCAGTTGTCAAACGTTCGCAATGCGGTGACATTTAACATGAGGGTGTTACCAATGGTCTGGGCTCAGACCACACTGTGGTCTACACACACACATCTGGGCTCAGACCACTTAATTGGGGGGACACGTAAAGCTTGCACGCACCTGCACTGCACATACGGTTACAACATTGCTTGCACTAAAAAGATACTTTTCTGTGCAAAAATAGACAAGTATTCACGAACATGTGAGAACACTAGTAAGGAGCACTGACTGAGGAATTAACACGTGACATATATCTTCTCTCAATCCTTCTCGACAGTACTAAATATAAATTGCTCACTGTGATACTATAACACTGTTGATGTGACATGTAGTGATGTCAGGTGTGACATCCTGGGTGATGTCAGGCAGCAGAAACAGTTTGTGGCTTGCTCCATGTGGCTTGTAGATCTATGTGGCCTTATCCACGTGTGGCTTCATGATTGTTTGAGTCCTGTGCAAGCCGGGGATCAATAATTAGGCTTCAGAGGAAACGTTACTTTATTTAGGTTCTTGGTACACAGGCAGTGTGTTAAAGTGCCCAGGCCCTGAGGGGCATGCCCAGAAGAGTGTTACAGAATAAACCGTGTTGACTGAGTGAAGTCTGCTGCCAGAGTGAGACAGGGTAAGCGTGGTGTGGGCCGAGCTTGGTAGGCCTATGCCACTAGGTGTCAGCACCGTAGTGCCGTGAAATATGAGCCTAGCTGGGCATACAAATAAGTGTCAAGGGCCCAAAACTATTTAACTGCCTCCCAGCATACACAAGGGGGATTACCAAGAGACCCCTGACTGTCTTCAAAAAGGTGCTGGACAGGCACCTAAAGTCGGTACCTGACCAGCCGGGCTGTGGTTCGTATGTCAGTCTGCGTGCGGTCAGCAATAACAGCCTGGTTGATCAGACCCTGATCCACCACGAGGCCTGGTCTCGGACTGAGCCGCAGGGGTGTTGATCCCCGAAACCCTCTCCAGGTATACCCTCCCAAAAGCAGTGTCATCAGCAAAAAGCATCTGTGACAATTCCATATTATTTTCCAATCCCACGCCTCTTCCCAATACCCCAGGATGGACTTCTCTTACAACCACATGTGTAATGTCACCAAGGTTGGTGACATTACACATTCCTGTCTAAGGCCTACTTTTACTGGATAATAATCTCCCTCTTGCCTACATACCCTAATCAGTCTTACTCTCCTTGTAAAAACTCTTAACTGCTTTCAGTAACCTACCACTTGTTCCATACACTTGCAACATCTGCCACATTGCTTTCCTATCACCCTATCATGCATTTTCCTAATCCATAAATGCAACAAAAGTTGTTAACCCTTGTCTACATACTGTTCACTTGTATGCTTCAATGTAAACACTTGGTCTCCATATCCCCTGCTCTTCCTAGAGCCTCTGTTCATCTGCAATCCGTTTTCCATCTTGCCCTTAATTCTTTCAATAATAACTTGACCACATACCTTTCCAGGTATAATCAACAGGCTTTTTTTTTTTTTTTTATAAACAAGTCGGCTGTCTCCCACCGAGGCAGGGTGACCCAAAAAAAAAGAAAATCCCAAAAAAGAAAATACTTTCATCGTTCAACACTTTCACCTCACTCTCACATAATCACTGTTTTTGCAGAGGTGCTCAGAACACAACAGTTTAGAAGCATATACATATAAAGATACACAACATATCCCTCCAAACTGCTAATATACCAAACCCCTCCTTTAGAGTACAGGCATTTTACTTCCCATTTCCAGGACTCAAGTCCGGCTATATAAAAATACTGTAACTGGTTTCCCTGAATCCCTTCACTAAATACAGTGGACCCCCGGTATACGATATTAATCCGTTCCTGAGTGCTCATCGTATGCCAAAATTATCGGAAGGCGAATTAATTTTCCCCGTAAGAAATAATGGAAATCAAATTAATCCGTGCAAGACACCCAAAAGTACTATGAAAAAAAAAGTTTTACCACATGAAATATTAAGTTTAATGCACACAAACTGAAGAAGACATGCACAGTTAGTAGTACTCTGCTAACAATAGAATACATGACACTTACCTTTAACCCTTTGAGGGTCGACAGGCCCTCTCTGAGACTCATTCTCAGGGTCGGCCAAATTAAAAAAAAAAATAATTTTTTCTTATGAAAAGATAGAGAATCTTTTCCCGATCATAATGACACCAAAAGTATGAAATTTGATGGAAAACTTACGGAATTATGCTCTTGCGAAGTTAGCGGTCTCGGCAATGTTTACGCATCGGCGATTTTGCCCACTTTGAGTCCCATTTTCGGCCAATTCCACTGTACTAGTCAACAGAAAACATGAATATTTCGCTAGAACTCCATTTTTTTCTATCGAATGAGTGCAAGAAACCACCCATTTACCAATTTCAACTATCCAGTACTGTGGTCAGAATTTAGCAATTTTGCCAATTTCACACAAATTTCAAAAGATGCCAATTTCCGAATAGGGTCCAGAATAAACAAGAAAGACATTCCTGGCACTAAAATGACATTTCCTCTGTTCATTAGTCATGTCTCAAGGCCCCTCTTGCATTCTTTTGCTTTCCACTTTGAATTTTTCTCACAAAAAATAGAAGATTTACTGTTATGCAGATTACTGCATTAGTATAAAAAATGGTATAAATAATATTGGCGCACTTGTGAAAGAATATTAGACTCGCCAGTTGACGTGTATGGAACGCTTGAAATGATTTGTTTACTTTTGAACTTTGGTAAAAATTGAACATTTCTGCTACTTTGAGCTCAATTTCAAGGTACTTTTCATTGTAAAACCAGTCAAAATCATCTCAATTTCTGTAATATGTCTTCCATTCTATAAAATGAGACCAAGAAAACTAAAATACAACAATAAATACCATACGAAAATACAATGCAAAGTCGCTGTTTTATTCCAAAAAAAAGGTCAAAGTTTTTTTTCTCATTATGCACTGTGTGCTGCAGGATTTTTTTTAGACTCTGCACACTGACCACATAGACCCATTCTTTCATATGTAGGCCTACCAGCTTTCTCCCACTAGATTTGAGGGCACTAGAATTTAGGCGTACTAGTACGTCAAAAATCCTGGGTCGTAAGCCGTACTAGTACGGCCAAAACCCTCAAAGGGTTAATGAAGATCTGGTGATGATTGATGGGATGGGAGGAGGGGAGTGTCGAACTTATTGTTTAGAAGGGGAATCCGCTTCCATTAGGACTTGAGGTAGCAAGTCCTTTTCCGGGGTTACTTCCCTTCTTCTTTTAATGCCACTAGGACCAGCTTGTCACTGGACCTCTGTCACACAACAAATCTGTCCATAGAGCTCTGTACCTCCTGTTCCTTTACGATTTGTCTAAAATGGGCCACAACATTGCCATTGTAATAGTTACCAACACGGCTTTCAATAGCTGTGTTATGGTGATTTTCATCCATAAAGGTTTGCAGTTCAACCCACTTTGCACACATTTCTTTAATTTTTGAAGTAGGCACAATGGATTCCACAACTGGCATAGGCTTCTCAGGGTTAGCCCCAAACCCTTCAAAATCTTTCTTAATTTCCATACTAATTCTCACCCTTTTTACCACAGGGTTGGCACTAGAAGCTTTCTTGGGGCCCATGGTGACTTATTTTGCAGAAACAAGCACCAAAAACAGTGTGATAATATGGAATGTACGGAGTGTATGCTTAGATGCGAGCACACTGGCTGGCTTGTGAACACTGGCACTCACATGGACGTGTCCTGGACGAATCGTGTGTGGAGGGTTTTTTAACGAGTGGCGAGGCAAAATTTTGGCGTTAAAACTTATCGAATACCGAATTTAACGTATACCGATGCTATCGAATACCAGGGGTCCACTGTATTACCCTACTCACACTCCAACAGATCGTCAGGTCCCAATACCATTCGTCTCCATTCACTCCTATCGAACACGCTCATGCACACCTGCTGGAAGTCCAGGCCCAAAAGGGTTGTTTCCCTATAATTCTTACTCTTTTTGTTCCCTTAGCCTTTATACATAGGAACTATACATGCTCTATGTTGGTCTCCAACCATTCCAAAACTATATATCCATCTTCTTTTAACATTAGTCTTGATGGCTTCAATCCCAGCCTGATCTCTTCTATCCCTTCTTATATCACTTCTGCTTTGTAAAAACCTCTTGAATGCTAACTTTTTCTCTTATTTGACACTCGTCATTTCATCAATCGCTCCTGTAATTTCATAGTTAATTTTTTTCTCTCTTCCAACGTTACTTCTGTATTTTTTATTGGATCACTAAATATGTGATTTCCTTAGCTTCGTGTTTGAAAACCTATGCTTGCCTTCACTTCTATCAGCTTTAGCCCAAGATTGATTTTTGGGGGCTTTAGACATTTTAAAATTTCATGCATATTTCCTGAAGCTTTAGGTTGTTGCTCTTTTTTTTTTAGTATTTAGGGTTTTTCTTACCTAGTACTATTGGCCTGCATGTCTGCTCTCACATTAGTTCATCTGTCCTTGTAAATTTGTCTTCAGAATTCCCTAGAAGTGCTATCATTAGCAAAGAGCAAGTAGGATATATCCCATTTTGTATCAGATCCATCATCTTTCAGACCCACATCTTCAAAAGCGCCCTAGCATTTACAACTTTTGCTACCGCATTATTCTTTTTCTTCATTTCTTTGAAATTATAATGTACATGCGTGACTGTATTAAAGTCTCTACTGAAATTTTCTTTTAGGATGACAAGGCTTTCCTGGAAAAGAAGAAAGAGGAGGAGAAAAAGATGAAGGAGCTTCAAGCACGTGCGGCAAAGGGTGGTCCACTTGGTAAGTCGAGGCCTGACACTCGATGCTGGTGGAACAAGGTTCCTTAGTTTGAATTATATTTTACAGTGCTGTACAGTGGAACCTCAGTTGTCGGTCTTGGCTCGTTCCAAATGTCTGTTCGACAACCAAAGCAATTTTTCCCATAAAGAATAATGTGAATTGAATTAATCTGTTGCCAGATTAGTGATTTTGCTGGATTATCAACATGCAATATTTACACATGGCAGTTTTGCTCACTTAACCCCCCTATTTTTGGCCCATTTCATTGTTCCAGTTGACCTACAAGAAGCTGCCCATTTACCCTTTTCAACTACCCAATAGAGTGCTTAGAAATTGGTAATTTGGCCAATTACAAACAAATTTCAAGAGATGCCAATTTCAAAATAGGGTCCAGAATAAACAGACATTCCTGGCACTAAAATAAAATTTTCTGTTCATTAGTCACATCTCCAGGCCCCTCTTATATTATGTTTGCTTTCCATTTTGATTTTTTTTCACACAAAAATATAAGATTTACTGTTATGCAGACTACATTATTGTAATAATTGTATAATTGTCAACCCATTCATGACTGTGTTTTAGAAGGGCCAATTGGACACACATTGGACAGTGACATCATTTGTTTACTCTTGAACATCGGCAAAAATTGAACATTTCTGCCACGTAGTGTGGAAATTAGGTGTGGAGTTACTAAAAGAATGTCAGAGGGCTGAAGATGGGTTGTTGAGGTGGTTTGGTTATTTAGACAGAATGGAAATCTGTAGGGGAATGAAGGTGGGGTAGGGGTTGTCCTTGAAAAGGTTGGAGGGAGGGAGGGAGGGAGGGAGGTAGGTAGGTAAAGGTTTTGTGGGCCAGGGGCTTGGACTTCCAGCAAGTGTGCGTGAACGTGTTAGAGAGGAGTGAATGGAGACGAATGGTTTTTGGGACCTGACAAGCTGTTGGAGTGTGAGCAGGGTAATATTTTGTGAAGGGATTCGGGGAAACCGGTTAGCCAGACTTGAGTCCTGGAAATGAGAAGTACAATGCCTGCACTTAAAATGAGAGGTTTAGGATATTGGCAGTTTGGAGGGACTTCTAAACTGTTGTCTGAGTGCCTCTGCGAAGACAGTGATTGTGTATGAGCGATGGTGAAAGTGGAAATACCCCACTCGGTAGATCATCAGATGCAGCATTCTGAACCTGACTATAAATACTTGCGTATCTTCCACCCCAGGTAGATCTGTTTGTGACTTGAAAAAGCCCACTGTGTGGGTGAAACGTTGTCAATAAAGGATCACGTTATACTGCATGTGTGTTTATATTTCCATGGTGAAAGTGTTGAATGGTAATGAAAGTTATTTTCTTTTTGGGTCTTTTTTGGGTCACCCTGCCTCAGTGGGAAACGGCTGATGTGTTTACCTGGAGAAGGTTCGGGGGTCAATGCCCTTGCAGCCCAGTCTGATACCAGGCCTCGTTGTGGATCAGGGTCTGATCAACCAGGCTGTTACTGTTGGCTGGGCATAAACTGACGTACAAACCACAGCCCTACTGATCAGGTACTGACTTTAGGTTCCTGTCCAGTGCCTTCTTGAAGACAGACAGGCAGGGGTCTATTTGTAATCCCCCTTATGTATGCTGGGACGCAGTTGAACAGTCTTGGGCCATGACACTTATTGTGTTGTCTTATCGTACTCGTGGAGCCCCTGCTTTTTATTGGAGGAATGCTGCATCTCCTGCCGAGTCTTTTGCTTTCATAGGGAGTGATTTTTGTGTGCAAGTTTGGTATTAATCCCTCTAGGATTTTCAAAGTGTATATTATCATGTATCTTTCTTGCCTGTGTTCCAGGGAATACAAATCGAGGAACTTCAACCATTCTCACTATTTAGGTGCTTCGTCATACTTGTGCATGTCGTGAAAGTTCTCTGTACAGTGGATCCTCCCTTATCATCGCTCAGTTATCGCCAATTTCCGTTTTTGTTGATTTCCAATGTTTTCGTCGATGTATTGGAACCTGTCCAATGCCCAGCGCACAGACAAAGCCACCTCCCACATGCATTCTCAGGCAGTGTCGTGTCGTTTCTCAGTGAGTGAACATATCCTACCAGGTCATATGAAACATTTCGTAATAGTCCATTGTTTTTGCCACTTGTTTATTGTGCGTGACTGCTAACCAAGCCACCATGGCCCCAAAGAAAGCTCCAAGTGCCAGTCTTTTGGTAAAGAAACTGAAGAATACCGTAGAAATGAAAAAAGAAATTGTTCAAAAATGTGATGGTGGCATACACATTGTCGAACTCGGCAGGACATAAGGAAAGGCACCATCAACGATCAGCGCCATTGTGGCAAAGAGAAAAGAAATCATGGAAGCTGATGTTGCGAAAGGCGTGAATGCAATAACCAAACAGAGATCCCAAACAATTGAAGTGGAGAAATTGTTGTTGATGTGGATCAGAGAGTTAGCAGGAGATAGTGTCGTGCAGTCGATAATTTGTGAAAAGGCAAAGCAGCTGCATGACAATCTCGTAAAGAAACTGCCTGAAATGAGTGCTGCTGATGGTGAATTTAAGGCCAGCAAATGCTGGTTTGAAAAATTCAAGAAGTGAAGTGGCATACACATTGTTGTAAGGCAGGGTGAGGGTGCCAGTTCAGACAGACAAGCGGCTGAAAAATTCATGTGGGAATTCGAAGGTTATGTAGAGGCTGAAAAATTCCAACCCCAACAAGTGTTCAATTGTGACAAAACAGGCCTCTTGGAAGAAAATGCCAAAGAGGACCTACATCATGCAGGAGGAAAAGGCACTCCCAGGACACAAACCTATGAAAGACAGGCTAACTCTCTTGTGTGGTAATGCTAGTGCGGATTTCAAAGTGAAGCAATTACTGGTGTATCACTGAAAATTCCAGTATGTTCAAGAATAAGTGTTCTCATGGGTAAATTGTGTGTGATGTGGAAGGCTAACAGTAGGGCATGGGTTATGAGGAAAATTTTCCTGGAATGGTTCAGTGAAATGCTTGGCCTGAGTGTGAAGAAATACCTCCCGGATAATAAACTACCACGCCAGTGCCTCCTGTTAATGGACAAGGCTCCTGCTCATCCTCCAGGCTTGGAAGACCAATTGTCTAAGGAATTCAGTTTTGTAACAGTAAAGTTCTTGCCTCCTAACACCACTCCTCTCATCCAGCCCATGGACCAGCAGATCATTGCAAACTTAAAAAAAATGTACACTAAAGCAGTGTTTCAAAGGTGCTTTGACATAACCTCAGACTCTGAATTGACCCTAAGAGAGTTCTGGAGGAATCCCTTCAATATCTTCCATTGCATAAGCCATAGATAAGGCTTGGCAGGGAGTGACTTCCAGGACAATGAACTCTGCTTGGGGAAAATTGTGGCCAGATTGTGTCCAAACGAAGGGTTTGAGGCTGACCCTGTCGACCCTATATCTGTTGTGCAATCCATTGTGGCATTGGGGAATTCCATGGGGTTGGATGTGAGTGGCAAGGATGTATCTTCAGAGGAGGAGGAAGAGAGATGGAAGAAGGTGCCTTCTTCAAAGATTAAGGATATTTGTGCAATGTGGACTAAGGTGCATTCATTTGTGGAGGAACATCACCCTGAGAAAGTTGTTGCAATCCGTGCTAGTGACTTTTACAATGACAATGCCATGTCCCATTTTAGGCAAATCTTAGAGATTCCAGAAACAGACCTATCTGGACAGATATTTTGTGCAACAGGGGTCCAATGACTCAAGCTGGTCCTTGTGTCATTAACCCTTTCAGGGTTGGTGCCATACTAGTACGGCTTGCACGCCAGGGTTGGTGCCGTACTAGTACAGTGGACCCCCGCCTTACGATGGCATCGCGTTACGTTAAATTCGCCATAAGATACATTTTAACGCAAAAATTTTGCCTCACCTCGCGCGATTCATCCAGGATGCGTCCCACGTGTGGCCTCAGCTGGCCCGTGGGTGCCAGTGTTTACAAGCCAGCCAGTGCGGTTGCATCCACGCATACATTCGGTACATTTCACCTTATCCCAGTGTTTTTTTGTGCTTGTAACTGCAAAATAAGTCACCATGGGCCCCAAGAAAGCTTCTAGTGCCAACCCTGTGGTAAAAAGGGTGAAAATTACTATGGAAATGAAGAAAGAGATAATTGCTAAGTACGAAAGTGGAGTGCGTGTCTCGGAGCTGGCCAGGTTGTATACCAAACCCCAATCAGCCACTATCGTGGCCAACAAAATGGCAATCAAGGAAGCTGTTTTTGCAAAAGATGCAAGTTTGTTTTCGAAACAGATTGCAAGTACTTGAAGATGTTGAGAGACTGTTATTGATGTGGATAAACAAAAAACAGATAGCAGGAGATACCATCTCTCAAGCGATCATGTGTGAAAAGGCTGGGAAGTTGCATGACGATTTAATTAAAAAAATGCCTGCAACTAGTGATGATGTGGGTGGATTTAAGGCCAGCAAAGGTTGATTTGAGAGATTTAAGAAACAGTGGCATATATAGTGTGATAAGGCATGGTGAGGCTGCCAGTTCAGACCAAAAAGCGGCTGAAAAAATATGTGCACGAATTCAAGGAGTACATAGAGGCTGAAGGATTGAAACCTGAACAAGTGTTTAATTGTGACGAAACAGGCCTGTTTTGGAAGAAAATGCCAAACAGGACGTACATTACTCGGGAGGAAAAGGCACTCCCAGGACATAAGCCTATGAAAGACAGGCTTACTCTGTTGATGTGTGCTAATGCTAGTGGTGATTACAAAGTGAAGCCTTTATTGGTGTATCACTCTGAAACTCCGAGAGCGTTCAGGCAAAACAGTGTCCTCAAGGCTAATTTGTGTGTGCTGTGGAGGGCAAACAGTAAGGCATGGGTCACTAGGGACTTTTTCTATGACTGCTTACACCATGCATTTGCCCCCAATGTGAAAAATTACCTCCTGGAAAATAAATTGGACCTTAAGTGCCTCCTGGTATTAGACAATGCTCCTGGTCATCCTTCAGACTTGGCAGAGCGACT